AGATTCTCCACTGATCTGTCCCTTTCATGTAGGGGTACAGTAAGGTCACATGACTATTGTAGCTTTAGGGTGTCTTCTCCTAATCAAGTGCTCTCCCTACTTCTACTCACAACTAGGTAATTAATCTTTTAGTTAATTCTCCAATTATGCAATTGTATGTTCATCTTTTCCTTTGTGAACTGTGGGATTACATATATGTATCCTTATAATACATTAAATGTGCCTTTTGTGTATGCATGTATTTAACAAATAGAATATTACTATCCCTCAGGTACTATTCTATTTCTCAATTTTATCCCAGCACCCTATTGTTATGTAGACTCCAGGTTGTTGCTTCCAGGCAGAGCATGTCCCTGCTCACCACACAGTGCTGCCTTCATACCACCAACCTACTGAGGAACAGACCCAACTTTCTGCTCTCACACATGATGGAAATCAGACTCACAGACTTTTTAACCCCAATTTTTAGTTATTTTCTAGGCCTAAATTCTGAACATAGGCTGGGGACAGTAATTTCATGAGCAAACCATGATGCATGCACAAACCTAAAGTCCGTGTTCCTCAAACAGAGTGATCTTAGCTTCATAAAGGCACTTTAAGTTGTTATAGATGAGTCTGAAAAGTCCACCCAAAGCTCTGCTTTGATCTGGTCCTCAGCCAGGGATGTTGGTTTGGGGACAGTGATAGACCCTTTAGATGGTGTGTCCTGCCCATGAGAAGTAGGTCACTAGAGATGAATGTTGCTGGTTGCAGCCTGCCCCGCCTCCAGTCCTGCTCTCCGCTCTTTTTTTTTTCCTAGATACATTTATTTCTATTTTATGTATATGAAGGTTTTGTCTGCATGTATGTAAGTGTACCATTAGCATGCAATGCCTATGGAGGCCAGAAGAACGCATTGAATCCTCTGGAACTGGAGTTACTGATGGCTGTTATCCACCATGTGGTACAGGGACCCAAACCTGCATCTTTTACAAGAGCAGCAGTGCTTTTAACTGCTGAGCCACCTCTTCATTCCCCTGTTCTCTGCCTCTTGATCTACCAAGGCGTCAGGCACCTCTGCCATGAGTCCACCTCCATCAATGCCACCATGCCCTACCTGCAGTGACGGACAAAACTTCTGAAGCTGTGAGCCAAAGTAAATCTTTCCACCCAGAAGTTGCTTCTGTTGGCTGTTTTGACATAGTAATGGGAAAAGCAACTTCTGTAAGTGTGTTTTTCCTGACTTTTTATTGTAATCATAGAGTGTACAATAACAAGGATTGCATAGGGTTCTGCTGACTGAGCACTATGGATGTGCTGCATTCTCTCCTAGGCCCAATTTGAGCTTTAGCTCTTACAACAGTATGTGGAACCAGCTTGGACCATTTTACAAGAGCTGATTATTAAATTTTCAAGAACTTTGCAAGCCAATTCTAAACAGCAGTTATTAAAAACGATATTACATAGGCTTGCAATTAAATAGATTACAATAAAAACAAATACAATAAAAGCTCATCAGTTCCTAATTACTTTACTGCCCTTAACTGTTATCTAGGCTCAGGTAATCTGTTGTATCTGTGGAGTGGAATACCAGATAACACCGCACATTTCTTGCCAATTCCACATTCAGTCATCCTCCATTGCTACCTTGAAATCAGCTGCAGTGTGGGTGTTTGGATCATGGAAATTAACAAACACTACAAATTGAGTTCTGTCCCAAGAGTTGGTTGTTAAACACTGAGCACTCAATCCTTACAGCATCCCTATAGATTGATGCTTTTTCACTTTGCAGATGAAAACCATGAGGTATAAAAGAGATAAATATTCCAAATCCCAAAGCTAATCCAAAAGCAAAAGGTAGAATCAAGACTGCAACTCAAGTTCATTAAACTCCTGAAATGATCCAGACCACAGCCACTAAGGTAGCTGATCCCTCAAGAGACCATTGGGATGAAAGCCTCGAGCCCCAGAGAGGCAGTTTGAAAGCAGTGGAACCTGGAGGTGAGGCCTTATGGGAGGTGGTGCTGGTTAGTTTTTGCCAACTTGACACAAACTAGAGACACTTGGATAGAGGGAGCCTCAACTGAGGAATTTCCTCCTTCAGAATGGCCTGTGGACATATCTGTGGGGCACTGTTTAATTGCTGGTTGATGCAAGAGGGCCCAGCTCACTGTGGGTGGTGCCATCCCTAGGCAGGTGGACCTAGACTGTGTATGAAAAGTAGCTGAGCCAGCCAGGAGGGTGCAAGTCAGTTAGCACCATTCCTCCATGGTCTATGCTGTAGTTCCTGTCTCCAGATTCCTGCCTTGGCTTTCCTCAGATATGGATTGTGAAATAAATGCTTCCCTCCCATGTTGCTTTTGGGTTATGGTGTTATCACAGCAACAGAAAGCTAACTAGAATAGAGGTTCTTAGGTCATTGGAAGAAGACGGTATGGTAGTTCTCATGTGAGTGGCTCTCATGAGAATAACCCTTTGGTTATTCCCATGTGACCCTCAGGAGGAAGCTGATATTAAAGGAGTAAGCCTGACTTAAGGCATGCCATTTGTTTCTGCTCTGATTCCAGATGTGTTCACTCACCATTCTGAGTTCTAGCCATGACATGCGGTCCTCCACCACTCTCACCAGATGCCACTCCACAGTGATGACAGATCTTGGGTTTTGAAACTCTAAAACCCTAAACTAAGTAAATCTTTTCTCTTCACAGTTATCTGCTTTAGGATAGTGATGAAGATCCACCCACCCAAAGGTAATGGAAGAATCAGGGACAGACAGTAATCAATCAGTAGGACTTTGTTCTCATCCTTCTGCAGACAAGGAAGCTGGGCACAGAGGGGTTGAAGCTATTTGTCCCAAATTATACAGTTAATAAGGAAAAAGATAGTGGGTTCAAGCCAAGACTTCTGGCCCTAGAGCCAACACACACACCTTCAGATCCTAAGGAAGTGGAATGCCAGGATGTAGACAGCCACTGTCCCATCTCTCTGTCTCCATCCCACCCCTTCCTCTCTCTTGTCATGTGATATTTTAGTTACCTCTCTCCACACACTTGCTTTGTTTCCCTCTTTCTACTTTGGTTTGCCCGTTCATATCTCACAGTTCCAAAGTGTACATGTCCTCAATTTAAGAACCTGCCCAGGTTGATAGAATGACTAGGTTCTAGGAAATGCCAACTTCCCAGGAGATAGGATCTGACCAGAAGAACTTGGGTTACTCAGAAACCCTGGTTCAATCAATAACTCCAGCAGGGCTGCTGGGCACATACCTGCAGGGTTGAGAAAGGACACTGGAGGTGTGTGGACCGCAACACCCTGAGTGTGCCTACAGCCTTTCCATTGGACACCCAACGGGTGGGACCCTGGGATGCAAGAAAAAGTAATAAATATATTAATCACTCTGCTGGGTCTTAGAATGAACTGCATATATATTGACTCCTTTAGCAAAGTAACACTGCAAAGTACGTATCGTCATCATCATCATCACCATCATCATCATCATCCTTTTACAGATCATAGAGCTGAAGCACAGAGAGTTTAAGAAAGTTGGCCATGATCAGGAGTCATCCCTCAGCATCCATAGGGGATGAATTCCAGTTCCTCACACAGATACTCAAATCCCTGGATTCCCAGATCCCGTATATGAAGTGGCATTCTGCTTGCCCATACACCATCTCTATATTACTTATCCTAATAGATGCAACTGCTGTGTCAGTCACTATACCATATTGTTTAGGGAGTAACAACAACAAAAAAGCCTGTATATGTTTAGCACAGACATATTCTTTTCCAAATATTTTTGAACCACTGTCAGTTGAATCTGAAGCTTCATAGAACACATGACAGAGCACAGACTGCATTTAGTAGGGGGCGTGGCCTGGAGTCCAGCATTGGCTGTCCATCTTCCCTATGGATACTCTCATCTGCTCTGCTCTCTGCCTGTGCTGACCACTCAGATGATGAGCTGTTATAAAGACCAAATCAGAGCTTTATAAACTCTGTCAAAAAGTGAATGTGGCGGGGGGCTGGAGAGATGGCTCAGTGGTTAAGAGCACTGGCTGCTCTTGCAGATGACTGGGTTCGATTCATAGCACCCACATGGTAGCTAACGACTGTCCATAACTCCAGTTCCAAGGGATCCAATACCCTCTTCTGGCCTCCAGGGGCATTGCATGACACAGGTACACTTACACACATTCAGGTACACTTACACTTACACTCATAAAATAAAAGTAACAGATAAAATATGTTTTTTGGTCTTTCTGAGACAGGGTCTTCTGGTAGTCCCAGCTGGCCTGGCTTTTGCTATGTAGACCAGGCTGGCCTCAAACTCACAGAGATCTGCCTGTCTCTGCCTCCTGAGTGCTGGGATTAAAGGCGTGTGCCACCAGGCAAAATATTTTTTTAAAAAATGAATGTGTCATCTGTGTTTCTGTGTCATCTTTTATGGAATCAAAGCAATGGCTGGCTATAAAAGCAGACAAGAGACACACTGTACATCAGCTTGTCTTCTCAGCTTTCTCCAACATTCCTCCCAGAAGAGTCACCCGTGGCCTCCGTATCACCAGGAGGACTCCAGTGAACCCTAACATGTCATTTAGAAGCAGCAATAATCTTTTCTTCTGCTGATCCTTGTTTGTCTTGTTTGAGATGGTTTCCACGTGTAGCCCAGACTAGCTTTGAACTTGGGATCATCCTGCTTCCATCTCCAGAAGGCTGGAATTAAAAGTTTATGCCATCACAGCTGGCAATAAGGTACTGGGATTTTTTAAACATCTCATTTATTTATTTATTTAATTTATTTATTTATTTATATTTTATGTGTATGAGTATATTGCCTGCATGTATGTGAGTGCACCTGTGTCATGCAATGCCGCGGAAGTCAGAAGAGGGCTTCAGATTCCCCTGGAACTGGAGTTAAGGACAGTTCGTAGCCACCATGTGTGTATTCTGGGAATCGAACCCAGTCCTCTGCAAGAGCAGTCTTAACTGCTGAGCAGGTTGTTTTTTATTTTTGTTGTCGTTCTCAGTACTGGGGATTGAACCCAGGACCTCATGCATGCTAGGCAAACGCTCTACCACTGAGCTATACCCCCAATCCTTTACTTACTTTTTCTTTTAATACAGGGCCTCACTAAGTTCTAGCAGGCTCTAGAACTCATTCTGTAGCCCGGACTGGCCTTGAACTTGCAATTCTTCTACCATCATGTCCCCAGCACCTGGAATTACAGGCCTGTGTTACCATGCTAGACATAGTAAGTTTTTATTACACCAATAGTTCCGGCTTGTTTTCTCTAGTGAGACCTTGGAGGGAGTAGGAAAGAGGCAGGTGAATAGACCACAGGAAACAGAACTCAGAGGAAGCTGGTTGGAGGCAGCAGAGACTGTGGAGTGAGGGACACTGCCAGCTGCCCTCTTCAGAACCTAACCATCAGAGTCACCAGGAATTGAAAGGTTTCCCATTTCACAGATGAGGAAATTGAGACCCAGACCTGCCCAAGGCTAGGTGATTCAGTCTCTCTTCTGGCTCACAAGTTCCCTCTGCTAACCCTTCAACAAGCCCCTCAAAGTGTTCCAAGGAGGATTCCTCAAGCTAAGGCAGATGCCATTCACCCCCAGGGCCGCAGGAAGGCACAGAGGGCCAGAGGCAGGGGCATGGTTTCTCAGTCTGGGTTTCCTTGGAGCTGTCATTTCCATCACCATTCCTGCTGGACTGAACCCTCTGCCACCATAGTAAGAACATTCGGTCTCCAGGTCATTCTTCCCTCTACCCGGTGGCCAGGGCCTCCCTCTTATTCTCAGCAAACTTCTGTCCTCTCCCTGCCAACGAGGGCAATCTCCCCTTCCTGGCACCAGCAACTATGTCCCTGCAGTTGCCCTCTGTGTTGGATATGTGTCCTTACACAACTTGAAAGCCTGAGAAGAAATCTGGGGGAACTCTGTCAGGTATGATTCGTGAGGCTTGTATTAAGTCTCCTACCCTCCTCTTCTGTGTCTGTCTCCCCTTCTCCATTCCCCTCACTCTAAGGATAAGTACAGTGAGGGTTGCCATATCTGCAGCCTCTAGCTCTTGACAGTGTCTTATGAGATCCCCAGCAGGAGGTGCTATGATCAACAGGGAGCTGCTGAGGAACCTGAGACTCAGACCCGCAATGGTTAATATCAATTTGAAAGAATGGAGACTCGCCTAGGATGAGCTTCTGGCCATGGTTGTGAAGGATTATCTGGACTGGGTTGATTAGGGTGGGAAGACCCACCCTGAAAGTGGGTGGCACTATTCTCTAGGCTGGGGTCCTGGACGGCATAAAGAAGAGTGCTCGTTTCCTCTGCCTCCTGACTGTGGATGTGACATGGCAGCTGCACCAAGCTCCCGCCACCAGGACATCCACCATAGTTTCCTCTGCCTCCTGACTGTGGATGTGACATGGCAGCTGCACCAAGCTCCCGCCACCAGGACATCCACCATAACAAACTGTACCCTTCAACTGTGAGCCAAAGTAAACCTTTTCTCCCTTAAGCTGCTTTTGTCAGGGTATTTTATCACAGCAACAGAAGTAACTAAAAAGGCCCATTCCGAGGGGATAAGAAAGGCAGTCTGAGGGCCTCCAAACCCCATGTTTCCCCACCAGCTCCACCTTCACCCACTCATTTTTGGTGGACTTTTTTTCTCCTGTTTCAACAAGAATGTTGAGACCTCTAGGTGGAAGCTATCTCCACTTCCTGTTGCTCACCTCTACGGGAGCCTGTATTCACATTACCCTCATTGCTTGCCTTTGGCCCCACCTCAGTGAACCAAACCTGTCCACTACCACACAAGGAGGTGCCAGGATTATACCCATTTCCAGACAAGGAAACAGATTCAAGGATTTCACAAAATAAATAACAGCACTAAACTCGCACTCAGAGCCTGGGACCTTAACTACCACACCATGCTGCATTATCCTTGATTTTCTCAATTCCTCTAGAACAGAGATCTTTTTTCAAAGTGTGTGTTCCACACCACTAGTGCCACAGCACCTGAGAACTTGCTAGAAATATAAGCTGTCAGCTCCAGCAATGGAGCTCTAAGAAGACGTTTGTAATAAGCCTTCCAGCTGGGTGAGTTGCAGGCTAAAGTTTGAGAAGTTTGCTTCCTTCCAGGAAAAAGATTTGTGGATAAAATTTTATTGAAACACAGCCATGCCCATTTATATATTGCCTAAATATATAATACCAGAGTTAGATTAGTGTGACAGAGACACTCTGATTCTCAAAGCCAAACTTTGTCATTTGGCAATTTAAGCAAAAAGTTGGAAACCACCAATCCACTCTTCAGATTTTATCTCACCCTGCAAATTCCATTCTGGTCTTTGGCTCCATGCCTCTGTTACCCTAATAAGGCCTTCCCCATCACCTCTAGCTTAGGCTGAGACAAACTCACCCTAACTGGTCTCCTGCCCCGGGTCCTGCCCTGTCTTCCATCCCCAGTACAGGTACAGGAATGCAGTGTTAATATGCCGCACCTCTGCTTAAAATTCTTGCTGCTGGGCAGCTGGAGAGACACCACGTACTGCTCTTGCAGAGGACCTAGGTTTGGTTCCAAACACCCACATCAGGTGGCTCACCTGATGAAAATATTAAGTTACATTTAAATAAAAGTTCAAGTCGGGTATGGTGATGCACACTTTTAATCCCGGGTAGAAGCAGGTGAATCTCTGTGAGATCAAGGCCAGGCTCCACAGAGTTCCAGGCGAGCTAGGGCTACAGGAAGACCTTGTTTCAAAAAGATAGAGCGATAGATAGATCAATGGATGGATGGATGGATGGGTGGATGGATGGATGATAGATAAATAGATAGTTCAGAACAAAAAAATATTTTAAAAAACCAAACAAAAATTCCAGTGGTTAAGAGGATTAAGAACATGTACTGCTCTTACACAGGACCCTAGTTGTTTCCCATGCCCTTGTCAGGCAGCTTCCAATTGGCTGTAACTCCAGGTCTAGGGAATCAGATCCTTGTGGCCTCCTCAGGCACTGCACTCACATGCACATACCCCCACACAAACACATGTACACACATATAATTTAAATAAAACTTAAATAAATCTTTCTGTTGGTCTGAGAAGGAGGCTGAACTAGGAGTATTGTGAGTTCCTGGCCAGCATGAGTTACATAGTATGAGTCCACCTCACAAAACAACAAAACAAACAAAATCCCCATTGCCTTCTAAGTCAAATCCAGGCATTTTGGGCAGGACACACTAAGTTCTCCTTAGGCTGTACTTGGGCTTTGGAATGCCAAAACACTGCGGTCAATTCTCTGCTCACCTCGTGGCCTCATTTCCCTCATCCCCTGCCACCCTCTCTACCGTGGCAAAAACCCTGTTCATCCTGCAAGACTCAGGCCAGCTGTCAGGAGGGAGCCTCCTCAGAACTCACCCTCTCCCTGAGTCCAGATTTCCTCCTGCCTTGCTTCATCTTCACCATTTGTGAGCATCCTGCCCCCACACTGTTTGGCTAGCAGCCTCCAGATGTACAACAAACTGGCACTACATCCTCACTGAATTGATCAGCTCCCTATTGATCACCTCCACGTTCTTGCGGACCACCTTAGCTCTAACCCAGCTCCACCTCTGAATTTCCAAATGCAGCAGTTAGCGCTCCTGCCTCCTCCCTCTCAGGGCAAGGATCATGGTTACACTCAGCATGCTCCAAGGCAAGGCCACAGGGTCCTGGGCAGAGTGGGTGCCCACTAGATACTGCTGGCGGATCCTGGGATAATTTTGTCCCTCTCAAAATTATATGTATATTTTTATTGTCATGTATGTGTCTGTGTGTGTGTGCATGCCACATCTGAGTAGGCTGGAAGCTAGAGTCTGAAGCTCGAGTTACAGGTGGTTGTGAGACACCTGACGTGGGTGCCAGGAGCTGAACTCAGGTCCTCTGAAAGAACACCAAGCATTCTTAATTGCTGACACATCTCTCCAGCCCCCAAATTATATGTATTTTTAAATAGGGTTATTTTAAAAACGAATCAATTTGTGTGTGTGTGTGTGTGTGTGTGTATGTGTACTGTGTGTGAGGGAGTCCACACATGCCACAGTGAGTGTGTGGAGGTCAGAGGACAACTTTGGGGAATCAGTTCTCTCCTTCTGCCGTGTGAGTCCTAGGGATCCAATTCGGGCTTGGTAGTGAGTGCCTTTACCCAGTGAGTCATCTCACCAGCCTGTGGGTTTTATTTTTAATCACTAATTCTTTTGATTAAAATATTTCCTTGTAATAAATTCCTTGTAAAAAATAAGCAAATAACTAAAACACAAAACCAGAAAAATCTTGAGAAAGTAAAAATCACTTGTAATTCCTCAACCCATATAAACGCATATTCTTCTGTTTCTTTCTAGGTACACAATCTTCAGAGAGGACAGATGCAACGTGCGTACGTGTGTGCGTGCATGTGTGTATGTGGGGGGGGGGTCCATTTCTTACTCCCAAACAGACCAGCCACATAATCCACATAATTCACTGCTCCTCTCTAGAGAAGTTGAGCACAGGACCAGAAGGAAGCCAGGAGTGTTACACTCATTGATATCCCTTCACATGGAAACATAAAGCAATGGGAAAAGAGGTTCCACATCCAAAGTATTGTGCTAGGAGTTTTAACTATGACCCAACCTGTAAGAGTATTAGTCTGACCTGGAAGGAATCACTCAATGCCATCCAGCCAGCTGGTGGTGGAGCCAGGATTGAAACGCAGGTGCCTCTGAATCTATATCCCTTGTTCTCTCTACCATGGTAACCTGCCCTTCCACCTACCTTTGTGAATCCATCCATCTACGAACAGTGCCTGTCCTGTCCAAACTCCCCTACTAACAAAAACATGCAGCCAGCTAGTTCAGGAGATAAAGGCCACAGGCATAGAAAAAAATAACACACAGAGAAGCTGAAGAGATCACTCAGGGCTTAAGAGCACTGGCTGCTCTTCCAGAGGACTAGGGGTCAGTTTCCAGCACCCACATAGCAGCTAACAACCATCCAGTTCCAGGGTGATCTGACCCCCCTCTTCTGGCTTCCAAGGGTATTGCACACATGTGGTGCACTTACATACATGCAGGCAAACA